CCTGAAGTTTGGTTCGTTTGAGTTATACGTCAAGCCAGAAGCATTTATGCGTGATTAGATGCATTCATATAGACTTATATGTAAGAAACCAGCAGTGATAGCGCCGGGTATTTGAAACAAAACTTAACATTTGACTTCGGTCAGTAAGATTTAATAAAGCAAACCTCTTTTTCAATCATCGCTCATAGTGCGTAATGTTAGACACAAGTATAATTAAATTGATGAGCTTATCCATGTATGCTTAAGTATTCTTCAATATAGTTAATCCATGGAAAAGCCATTTTTAGCCATAGCATAAGTTTCACTATACAATTCATAGCTGCCGCAAACAGATTTAGTTTATACCATAGAAATCATTAAGGAGAGAAATCCACTATCAAAAATATGAGCTGTACGACTTTGAGAATGCAGGATATTTCCTAAATATAAGGGAAATAAATTAGGGTGAAATTCGTACGAGTAAATAAGAAAAAAGGGTGGAGATTTAAAATACAATATGGACGATATGTCGCTGCAACACAATTATAAAATGTCTTATAGATCTTCGTATTATCAGAAAATGACTAACCTCAAAACCAAGTTTTTGAATTATGCGTGCGTACTTCCTGGCTGCCAGTTTAGCCTGCAGTTCACTCTTGGCACCGGTGCATACCATTTTGCCGGAAGAAAAAATAAGGGCTGTTGTTCTAGGTTCACGAATCCTCATGATCACGGCAGCAAATCGCTTTGGGTTGTATTCAGCATTGCGGGCATGTAGTGCAATCTTTTTCAGGTCGAGTCGACAACCAAGGTAGACAGTGCATACAATATTTCTAGTAATATGGATAAAATTGCAAGTGAAACAGTATATAGAGAGATAGATCAGCATACACATTTTAAAGGGATCTGTTAGATCATACTGGATTGCTATTATAACTTTGTGCTGATTGAGAGAAACTACGCGATATATGGCTCTTACATGGAAGGTGAAAAAATCCTGCTTACTTTTTAATATTTTTGGTAAAAGGTTTTTTAATTCAGAGGATAATAAAATCATCGGTAGCATAGAATGTATCATTATTATACTAGTGGATGAAAGAAAGGCTTAGGTCTCAATATAAAAGAAAATGTTTCGTTGTATTGTAATATTGCATTGTATTATAGGCTCAAGAATAATCAAAGAGGACCTTGCTTAGTAGAATCACGTTCATTTGGGTTATTTCATTACTACCTTCTAGGTCAATTACATGCTAGTGCTTAAGCAAGCTGTAGGGATTATAGTGAAGTATAGAAATGCATCTGGATAATTTAAAAGGTACCCATTATTGAATATTTTATCAATTTTATATAAATGCTAAACAAAGCTTCCGTGGGATTTAAACATAATAAAACTATGCTGAGCCACGGAGACCTACAAATTGAATTAGTTGAAGAATAGTTAAAGAAAGGTGAAGAAATTCACACTTAATTAGGCGTAATTAGAAAGAAATCCCAAGAAATTGTTAAATTAAACCATGTTTTCAGCATGCATAATCTAAACTAAGTGCTAGTTCAGACTATTTTAATGACAGCCCATTTGATTTATAATTGAGCATTTTAATTCGGAGGCAATTAATGCATTTATTAGTATCAAACAAAAAATAAAAATGTAATGACAAACGCCTGGTGTAAAAGTAAGGATTTTGATTTTCACACGGAAAACTCATTTTTAACACCATTTAAGGTAAAATTTCATTAATTACAATAATAAACTAAGAATATAATGGGTAAAAATGGAAAAAAACAAACAAAAATAAGTATTTTTACAACTTGATAGTGCTGAAGTAATTACATATATAAGAAGCAATAAAGAATTACAATTGTAAAGAAAAATTGAACACTGAAACAATTTGAAACAGGAAACCAGTATACAAAAAATTAATATATAACATGGTATAACGTATAAAATAGATCCAGTATTAAGATAGCACCCTTGAAAGCAATTGAAAAAATAGCGCTAAGCTTGATTGATTGGTTCAATTTAGTTAATATGAATTGTGTTAAAATAATTAATACTTCATAAAATTACCTATGATCAAGTATAACATGGCAACTTACTGTAACTGTGGCCGGGGGATACCAGCATCTTTATCATGAAGAGGAGTGGCGGGAGTGGCAGGCGTATAGGGAGTGCGACCAATTAGAGCACTGACGCTGCCAACAGAGGCATGTGCGCCTGACGAGCCAAGGTTCAGTGCACCGACAAAAGGAGTGCCTGAAGTAAGGCTTCGAGTCTGAACAGAACTCTGATTAGGATAGTAAGACAGCTGTTGTGAATTTAAACCCATATGTTCTCCAGTGAGCGGTTTACTACTAAGCAAACTGCCAATACTATTTATGCTAGGCTGTGGCTGCTGAGAGCTTGAAAGAAAAGAAATATAGCATGGGATATTAAATGGAAAAAGCTGCAAAAAATAGTTCGATCTGTGAAATGATTTTATATTAACAGAATGCAACGAAAAGCTAATTATAATCGTATTTTTACACATTAATCCTAAGACGAAGCTAAAGAGGAATTCGAAGCAAAATACTGAGCAAAATAATAAAATCCAAAGTATAGGATGGATCAATAAAGCCCCGCCGAAGTAAGTATATTATGAGATGGAAACAAGACCAAACTTTTACGACTCACTTCATCTTAAGGCATTAGCAGAAGTTCGTAAAAAGATATTGGAAGAAGCGCAGGTCAATTTTTAAAAAACTAATATGAAGAGGGGCCAGAAAACAGCATGGACATGAAAATTGTATACGGGAGAAGGGAAACAACTAGTATAACGAGTCAAACACAGTGCCTATGATAAGAAGTGGCTCAAACGACAATCCGAGTTATTTACAACAAAAACTAAATACGAATCAAATAAAATAAATATTATTTTTCAATAGAGGATACTTGATTTCAAATAAGGATACTGAAAAGCATTTTATTTTCGTGAGTGATATTGTAATATATTGAAATCGAGATGAGGATTGAGATTTTAAATAGACTTTATCAAAATTGTATCCAAATATTTGATATTTTGTATGATAAAAATTATGAACATCATTATCTTTTTGCTCTATGTGTAATATTGTAAATGCATAAATTTAGTATCTACTATGACTGAATACAGATATTTATACATAAATTAATCTGATTAGACATTGCAATAAAAAAAATTATTGTCGCTAATTGAATTTGTTTTTGCATCGTGTTCATATTAGTAGGAAGATTGAGAGTAACCTACCTAGTCCGTAGTCTATTGTATGCAGACAGTGGACGTGGTACATTTCATGAACTTTCGCCGGCATCGTAATCAAAATCGTCAGTGAAGCTTGATATTATTAGCACCAAACTACAACTCGTAAAATGTACAAGTAAGGCTGATTCATTGATAAATCGTATGCTTAACAATCGTGGTATCCCTCCTACCCTGATGGGCTAATCACCAATCCTAAATCTTCGTATCACGCTTTTACTATCATAATTTTATACTTGGTTATCTAAATGTGTTATGGTGTGCCCTTGTAAGTCTACCCGTTGCCTCGTAGGATCTGTCTGCTATCTCCCTGGTCCAAGTATTTCGCTCGACCTATGCCACCCAATATGTGCTCTATGAGGCATTGTTTCCCACATTTTGTGTCTGGGAGACTTGAATATGGTTGTGAGAATGATACTTTACTCTGTTGACACCTTTCATATGGCAGACGAAGGATTTTGC